GGTTGGAGGGCAGTTAACAAGTACAGAATTGGAATTGTGGAAACAATGCAGGTACCATTTAGTAAACGCCCTCCTGCATCATGGCCTGGAAAAATGGTGAGTGACTTGGAGGGATACACCTTCTTATGGCAGATTTTTGAGTGCTAAGTGAGGCAGTCATATGCAGAGAAATGACCATGCCTTGGCATAGGCACAGCACTTTCTCGACATCCCCAGAGCTCCTTTAACTGTCTATTGTTCATCGTCACAGATAACCTGCCTGGGCTAGTTAACTGAAAACACCCAGAACATAGTTAACAATTTAACCATGCTAAGCCCGTAATTATCCTGCCTGGGCATTTTATTTCTAAATCTAAAATGCTTTAAAGGAAAAAAATAAAATGTTTTAAAAGCAGTGAAGGATGTGTGTGTGCATGCATGCCTGTTGAAGAGGCAAATTAATTGTGTAAACAAGGCAAGAGAACAATAAACATCTAAACACCGCTGTTAGAAGGAAAGGGATAGGTTAACCTAAGCTCAAATAACTTCTTTCTAACCCATCAGGAGCACATTATCTAAGATTCAAAAGTGCTAAATTGGTCAGAAAAGAGATGTGCTAAGATATAAGATCCTCTGAACAATGAGGAAAGAAAATTGAAGTGAAAATTGCAGTCTCCACCCACAAGAGACTTAAGTGAGATGAAGCGAAAATGTTTACAATGGAAGAAGAGAGAGAAAATGTGAAGAAGCTGATATTGAATAATAAAGATAACTCCGGAGACTTAGGAAGGAGAAAGATGACTGGGGAAAGCACTAGGGAAGGCGAAGTCATAAAGCTCTCCAGGGATCTGGGCCTGAAAGCGTAGAGTAGCTTATCAGAGTCAGTAGCAAACCAAACCCTGAGTAGACAATTGGTGTCACGACAGCAGCAGCAGATGTTTTCCTGGAAGAATGGTGGAATGATAGTCACAGGAAAATATTGTGACCTGCAGACAAGAGCTGTGTTTCATTGACAGCTGAACAAGAACACACACAGACATGGGGAAAGACAATGGCTGTGTCCAAAAGCTGAGGTCTGGTAGATGGGCAGGGAGGGAGGGGGGTAAAAGAAGAGAGGGAGGGAGGGAAGGAGACAGAGAGACAAAAGGTTGCTAAAAACATGTCCTTTAGAGAAGCATCTGTAAGGTAACCAGGTCTGTCAACTGGAGAAATCATACATACACAAAGAATGGGAAATAATTCCCACCACATGGTTAAAGGTATGAGATCTGGAGTTAGACTGCTGGGGTTCAGATGTCTTCTGTCACTTTCTAGCTATGTGACTATGACAAGTTACTTATTACCTCTTTAGCCTTCAATGTCTTCATCGGTAGAGTGGGAACTGTAGTACCATCTCATAGGGTTGTTGTGAAGATTGAATTAGTTAATATGAGTAAAAGAACTTAGAATATTGCCTGGTCCACAGGAAACATTGGAATATTAGCAACTACTGTGATGTCATGTGATCAGCTTCCGTGAGTGGCCCCGAGCTGTGTAGATGCTTTTTGCATGCGCCCTGATCCCTCCAGACCATCCATCAGACAAGTTTATGATGGTCAGGTAGTGTATGTATCGTCACCACGTCAAGACTACAACTGTTCTCCTTAAGAGAAGTTTGCAGGGTGGCTTAAACGTGGGTTAAGCTGAGGACAATGGTAACATTCTATGAGGTTTACAACTGCTTTGGAAAAGTCACTCCCACACATTGTGCCTCGTTATTTTGTTTGTTTTGTTTTGTTTTTAATCTTAAAATGGAAGTATTACTGTGAACGTACGTAGAACAATGCCTGGAGCATGTAAGCTTCAATACAGCCAAACCTCGATTCTCAGATGTCTGCCATCTTCAACAGTTCAGTTCTCTACCAAGTTGTTCACAGAAAAAATGTCTCAGTTGTTGAACAAAACTTTGGTTCTCGACCTGACAACGCTTTCATGCTGACACCTGTATGATGAGCCAAGAATCTCTCAAGTGACAAACATGGGAGATTTGGTTTTTGAACAAATCACTTCTAAAACAGCCTTTTGGAACAAATTAAGTTTGAGAAACACGGTACTACTTCGTGAGTTTTCTGAGTGTGAGTCTGCCTTGTGATGTTGGTGCTGGGTGACAGGTCTGAACCACTCTCATCAGGGAGGGACACCCTGACTGTTCTTAAGGCTGCTGGTAGAGAGGCCTTGGTGTTAGCTTCCTCTGCCAGAGCCTGGGAAAACTGATCTTTTAGCTCAGTAAGAAAAGTGACAGCTGTCTTTTCCGTTCATCAGAGGTACAAACAGAAGGAAATGACAGCCTGAGTCTCTAAAATGGGTCAGCAATGATGGGAGTGCATTTTTTAAAAAAGATTTTATATATTTACCTTTAGAGAGAGGGGAAGGGAGGGAGAGAAACATCTATGTGTGGATGTGTGAGAGATACATCTGATCAACAGGATGAGCTGCTGCAACTCTTACACCCCCAACTGGGGACCTGGCGGGCAAGGCAGGCATGTGCCCTGACTGGGAATGAACCGGCACTCTCTAGAGTGCGTGCTGGCACTCAATCCATTGAGTCGCCCCAGCCAGGGCTGGGAGTGCATTTTTAAGTCCCATTTTAACTCCCATTTACGGCTTTTTTTCTCTCTAAAAGAAAAAGAATAAGAAATCAGGTAACAGTTTAGACCAGATGGCTCCTGATGCTGATGTTACAGGAAACTGCTGCCCCTCCTGCCCAGGACATGGAAGGCCCTGCTGCTGGGCACCCTCCTGTGGCTCCGACCACCTTGCTGGGAAGCAGATACAGGGTTTTTCTTACTGGTTAGAAACTCTGGATGAATTTGGTTGAGGACATACTCTCCCAAGCAGCCTCCTGGGAAGAGCTTCTCTCCATAGTCCCAAGGGTCTTATTATTTAATAGGTTCTCTCCACTTTACACACCCTACTTAGCTTCAAGACCTACTTTCTCTGGAGCTCCCGAAGAAGAAAATGAACAGGTGGCAATTTTGCACTTTCTTCCCAACACATTTAGGACTTTGTCACCACCAGTGGCAGAAAACAATCTACCAAGAATGGATCTTTACCTCCATTCTTGGAGTAAACACCCCTTTGGGAGGAATCAAGCAGCACGCCAGCTGACCACAGGGACAAGTCCCACCCAAGGCCCTTTTCAGAAATCCTTTCCTCCTCCTCTTTTCCATCTCCTCTGCCAGGACTACTAGGAAGTCCCAGGGCAATTTCCAATATATGTCTTACAATGTCCATGATCTCTCCCCAGTAATCATTTATTTAGAAAGACGTTTTATGATACAAATTTGATAATCTCCCACGCACACTGGCACTGTTCTAATTGAAGTTGTAAGCCCATAAATTTCAAGCCCTTTGTCTTTCTGAAGGCCACAAGGTTTAAAAAGATACTATTGTCCTCCCTAACACCCACTACATTGTCACCAGGGACTGATTAAACAGAGTCCTGAATCGAACAGTGCGGATTTTGTCTAGGTCCTTTTCAGGCCTGACAATGCCCTTTTCAGTTCCCAAGACAAAAGGAGGTTTAAGGATGGAGATTCTTCTACGATAACCACATCCATATGGAAGGCAAGGTGGCCAGCAGCTGAGACCCAAACACCCACTCCCTTCTCCCCCCTCCTTTCTCTCCCCATCCCCCCAAACCCCAGGTGACAACACTGTCTAAGCCACCATTCCTCCTCCTCCTCCTCCTCCTCCTCCTGGTAACAAAAAAGGGGCCCTACACAGGCCCAATGGCTACTCCTCACTGAGCCCTCGCTTCCTTCTCTGGATCTGATACCAAAACTGCTCGCCTCACACTCAGCTCCCTGCAGAGAGGTCCTCTCTTCCCTTCCAAAGTGTGACCACTGCACAGGAGGCCTTGCCGTTCCATTCACCAAGGCAAAGAGCAGTTAGTCGGGGGCCAAACACTAGATCCCCCAGTCTAGTACGCACTGGGAAGGGCTGATGAAATGAGTCCCAGCAGAGCCTGCATCTTTGTCGTGCACCAGGGCTCTCCAAACCGGCCCTCCTTCAACTGGCAGCCCTAAGGCCGGTCATTCCGCACCACTCTTTGGTTTCTTCACCACATTGCCTGGCCAGCTGTAGCGCCAAGAGGCAGGAAATCACAGTTGCCAGGTGAGGCACTGGAAGGCTTAACTGAAGGGTTATAAGGTTTCCTGGTGCTCTTCGAGTCCCTGAGCCCTGGCTGCAGCGCTCGGGAAGCCCAAGGCTTGCAGCCAAGCCGGGGCTGCTCCTGCCCTGGCGCAGAACGCTGCTCGCTCCCCGCCCCCCCACCCCACGCCGTCCCCCGTAACTGCCCGGAAAGATAGCACATCTCCCGGAAATCCATACGGAGAAGTGCATGCCTTGTCTTGGCTGGCTGGATTGACTTCTGGTGTTTGAACTGCCAGCAGCTCGGGGATCCCAGAGGGGCCTCCATGCTCCTCTGGGCCAGAACCACCAGAAGCTAACCGGGACCCCAGAGTTGCTTCCGCTTCCTCCTCCCCGTCCCTCTCCCCTAAAACCTTATCTTCCTAAAGCCTTGTAAGGACTTCGACCAAGCTCGGGGTGGCCCTCAATTCACCTGGTCATAGAAAACCACAGCTCCCACCTACATTCCGGCGGGAGTACACGAGGACCCAACCCTACACATTTTTTATTCTAGCACCACATAGAAGAAAAATATTCTATTTCTTTTAAAATAAGTTGCTTCCCATACAAATAGCTATTTTAAAAATATACAAATAACGTTCAAGCAATAAAATCTAACTCTGGGGCTGGCCGTCGAGGGCAAGAGGAGATGAGGCGGAGGAATCTTGGCGAAAGTTCCCTGCGCGCTGGCTGGCGAGACCTGGGCAGGGGACCTCGGCGCCAAAAGACTTTGGACTTGCTGGGCAGTGAAGCCCCTGGAGAGCTCCAGGTCTCGAACTCCACCCCTGCACCGGCTGCAGTGCATACTACAAAGTCTGAAAAAGGCCCCGTGCCTTAGCCCGGCAGCTGCCTCACCAGTTCCAAGAGACCAAGGAGGGGGTTGCTAAGTGCTGGTAGGCTGGGAAGAGGCTGAGCGGGGAGCCGGGCCCGAAAGTGGCGTAGCCAGGCAGAGGGAAGGCGGCGGCTGGGAGCCCGCCGTTTTTGTCCTGGGCAGCGGCTGTGCCCACTTCGCTGCTGCCACCGCACGGCTGCCCGTCATGTACCAGCACCGGTACCACCACGCGGCGCAGCAAGCCGGGCGCGGCGCGCAGCTCAGCAGAGGCTGCCAAGTCGGGCGACTCCGCAGCTCCCGGCGCACGCGTGCGCTTCAGCTTGTAGCGGTGGTTCTGGAACCAGATTTTGACCTGCGTGGGAGTGAGACGCAGCAGGCGCGCCAGCTGCTCACGCTCGGGCGCGGACAAGTATCGCTGCTGCCTGAAGCGCCGCTCCAACTCCAGCGTCTGAGCCTTGGAGAACAGCACCCGCCGCTTCTTCCTCTTCTCGGCGTCTGAGCTCGGAGATGCAGGCTGAGCAGGCGGCCTCTGCGACGAGTCGGGAGGGCTGGTCTCTGGGCTGCTCTCGTCCGAGGCTAAGGGCGGCAAAGGAGACAGGCTCTGCTGAGGAGCCGGCCGGCCGGCGCGCCCGCTGCTTCTCGCGTGCGCGCGGACGTCCAGCCACCTGCCGGAGGGTGCGCCACTCTCCCGCGGCTTTTGAGGTGAGGCCGTTTCCTTCCCTGGGCCTACGTCTGGACACCCACCTCTCCGAATTCAGTGACCTTTTATACCACAACCTGAGACCGAGACCCCGCAAAAAACCCATCCGGTGCCCTCTGAAAACAAGTCCTCACTGGTCGTCGGCCCTGAAGATGAGTTTACCGCGCTGGCTCATCAACACGGGCCGCCTCCGGATCGAGTGCACTAGTTTGCAGAGGTTTGCAAAGCCCGGAATCCAGCAGAGCTAAGTTCGCCAATGCTGCCATCCCACATCGAGGACTGGAGAAAGTGGCCGTTTTCAGCATGTAAGGGCCCGGTCCTAAATATGTAAACATTCTGACCCATAGAAACAGAAGCCCAAGTACCTGGCGTCAGTACAGGCGCAGGGATCTGCTCTCAGGATGTGCGTACTGGGGAACGCAAGGCTTAATTAAGGGTTTGAGAACAGAGCCTAGGGTTTCAACCCTGGGAAATCCATCCCTGCGTCGGTTGGGCGCTAAATTCTGCTCGCCCCCTGCACTCTCGAAGCCGTCACCCGCTTTACTCACACGCGTAGGTGCCGCACTCGGATTCCAGCCAGGTGGCACGGGAGCCGCGACAGGAGGCGCGTAGCTCGGGCTCCCGCCTCCGTAAGTGATGGGCGTCCTGCTCCGGTAAATCCAGGAGCCGGCGTACGGTGAAGCTGAGGCGTCCAGAAGTGGCCATGGCGGAGGAGGGGAAGGAGGTGAGGGGCAGGTCGGGCTAGGAACCACGCGGCGGCCGGGGTCGCCGCTCCTACTGGTGGGAGTGAGAGGCGCGCGCCATGCTCTGACTGCCGAGATATTAGAGCGCTTACAGAGGAATCCCTTTCTATATAAACAGTTCTTCCCACCCAGGACGCTTTGAAAGGCGAGGTCTGGGTCTCCAGGGTGTTAAGTACCTGACTGAGTACTGGACCAAAGCCCCGGCAAGCCCGGAAGGTGCCACCTCCGCCCCCTGCCCCGCCCCGTCCCCCGCCCCTCGGCGTCCCGTTACCTCCCAGAGGCAGCAGGAAGCAAGCCTCGGCATTAGCAATTCCGTCTGATTAGCCCAAAGTGGGGACAGATAATGGGGATTGTTACCGATGAATAACATCTTGGGTGGCAAGCGGTGGCCACCACCCGCCGGCCCATCCCCAGCTTCCTCCTTCTCCAGGCTGACACAGGGCCTGGCCCCGCGGGAGCGCAGGGGCGGGTGGGAGCGGCATGGGTAGGTTTATGAGCACCCAGGAATTTATTCCCTGTCTGTTGATTTCTCGAGCTTCTTTGCTAGAGTGTTCGTTTCCCGCAATTATCTGGAAAATGATTTACCAGACGGCGTTAAACTGGAGCGTTCTCGTTCTTTTTTTGGTTGGGCGCCTCTAAGAACTGAGGCGAGAATTTCCTGTGGGCACAGAGGAGTCGCCTGGCCCCACCGGCATCTGGGCCAAAAGTGCCGAAGGCCGCTTGTAGACTCCCCACACCCCACACGTCTCCCACAACTTCAGGGGTCCTGGGGAAGGGCTGGCAGCATCTGGGGAGCCCTGGCTCAGCGCCCGTTTCCCCATAGCAGCCAAACAATTTATTCCGAAGTGGCAAACTCGTTGGTTGACCGGTGCGCCCTCCTCAGAGCTGAGCCCAGACCTGATTTAGAGTTCACGGGCGGCGCCTTTTCCCAGGGTGGCTAACGAGAGCTTTGCGGCCTTTTTGGCGTCGCTAGACCCTATGGCGCCGCTTGTGCGCCCTGGATCCCTGGCCTCGACATCAGACTCAGTGCCAGGAATGCGGCCCCTGCCCAAGAGCAGGCCTCCAGTCGGGGATCTCCGGCTCGGTCGAGGCTGCTGGGCCTGGTCAGGTAATGGGCCGATCGATCAGGAGAATTAGGCAGAAAAGACCGCCTGCCGGGGTTTCCCTGAGATCTTCTAGTCCCCGCAGCCCAACCCAAGGAAATGATCAATGTACAAGGCTCAGGGAGCAGCCGGAATTGTATACATTTTGATGGCCCAAAGGTTCTGCAAGGCCGAGCCTCAGCGGGTACACTTTTGGAGGTCTCTTCTTCCACAGCCAGTGGTCTGGGTTTCTGGTTAAATTTAGTGAGAGGCGCGGCGCTTGGGTGGCCTGGTCCACCTGAGCTGAACTCGGACCTGGCTCCGGTGCAGTTGCCACGGCACCGCTGGGCTTGGCGCACCCTCCCAAGCAGCCTCCCTGTCAAGCGTGCCCAAAGCGCCCGGGGCTGTGCAGCGCGCTGGGTGGTCGGGAGGAGGCAACCCCAATACAAGCCAACTGCTAGGCCTTGGACAAAGGGGAAATGGAGCTCGACGCCCCGGACCTGTTGGAAGCATTTGTTCCAGTCAAGATTTTGCATTTGTTCAGTCTGAAATAATGCCTGATTGACGCCTGCTCACAATGCACTTTAGCGCGCCGGGATAAATCAGAACTTGTCCCGTGTTGTCATGGTTTTCAATGGGGTTCAATGGGATTGGGAGCAAGATCGACTCTGCTGGCTGTCTCTCCGCAGCCCCGGCAATAGATTTATTAGTTATGTCTTTTTAAATAAGATTAAATTGAAATGACTTGGCTGTTCTCTCTGTTCTTGGCTGAGATGGGGAGGAGGAAGGAACAGTGGGTAGACCAGGGCTGGGCAGAGTGGGGAGGGCAAAGGCAGAAGCTGGAAGTCAGGCGCCCACCACGCCCCAGCCTGGGCACCTAAGCTACAGCATCCTAGAGGTGGGTCGGGTCACAGACCTGCCCAGAGCCTGTGGACTGCTCTTTGGCTAGAGCTCCATGCCCGGCAACCTCTGCCAGCCCACCTCCTGAGAGAGGTGGAAAAAGGTCACTGACAAAGGCTGTCTAGGGAAGCTTTAGGACAGACCCCAAGTTAGAGTCTGAACTTCTAGGCACTGTCAAGGAGAAGCATCTCTGGCTTTCAAGTGGGTTGTCATCCCAGCTCTGTCCCTAACTAGTCCTCTCTAATCAGCTCTCCAATCTGAGCCTCTTATTTTCTCATCTGAAATAGAGACTAGATTTGGCAACTTCAAAGAACCCCACCAGTTTTATGGTTCCACGTTCCCAGATTTTTTTCCCCCTAAAATCGTCATTGTACTAGCCTCTTGTTCTGGAATTCTCACCCTGAGGACGCTGGCTCCACATTCTCCAGAATGTCCCAGGAGAGGATATGCCATCTTTTGAGTTTCCAAAAGACCTTCTGCAAGAGCGAGGTGGGTAGATAACAATTTTGTAAAGAGAACTAAGTCAGGAGAAGGAAAAGAGGAATCTTTCCTGGAGTGACTGACCTCTCTTAGCCTTTTAATCTATTTAACATCCTAAGCCCACACTGATGTGTAGAAATAAGTAAATGGCACTCTTCAGTTGTTAAGAGCTCTTTAGCATCAAATATTTGTTTTTACTCTTAGTATTTGGCTCCCAAAGAGCAGATACATCCCTCATCTAGCAGTTGTGCTGTGGGGAGGGCCTAGTCTGAGATTAGCTCCAAATATTACTTCTAGCCTCACCTTCCCTAACTTGGGAACAGAGTCCCAGGCCCCAGTGTGTATTTTTAATATCCCAGGGAAACTCTTGGAATGCCTCCTTCTAGAATGTGCTGCAACTGCCCTGCTTCTTCTGGGATTCTCCCCTCCTTCATAGGGCCATCGTGCGCTTCAGTCTCGCTCTCAGCTCTGCTTTGGGGGCTTAATCTAAATTATCTCCAACAGTCAGAACAGTCAGGACCTGAGAGCTCCAGGAGGTTGTGTCATTTAAACTGTTTCTTCTGAAGAAGTAGAGGAAAGGGGATGGAGAGATAGAATTACTAGAGAAAGGTGCTTTCTTTTTGGCCTCCTTACATCAGATAAACTAAAAGACATGGAAGGAGAAAATTATTTTGACATTGGGTCAATAGAAAAAAGTAGAGATATTAAGTCTTATACATATTGGAAATGAATTGCTTCCAAGTCACACGTAAATATCTAACTGAATAGTCTTTCCAGATATTAAAATATTGTTTAGTGTTCTGGACACTAATTTTGCAACTCAACATAACTTGTGAGTATTATTATTTAATTGGGTAAGTAGCATGTCCCTGTAATTGGAGGTAGTTCATCGTAATTCCAGTAAGGGTTTTTAATCATTAGGCATCTGTGCTATAGTGAAGGTATTTAAGCAGTCTGCGCTAACCATCCTTTCAAAAGTATTGTCTCAGATGGTCATCAGTGCTGCGTGCTTAAGAATTTAAGACTAGAAATTCCTGAAATAAAACTAAAGTATCTTGATTTAAAAAAAAATGATTGCATCTATATCTTGCACTCCGTTTTTAAATCCTTCCATTTTGGTTAAGTGTTTCACAAAATCCTGCAAATCTATACAGTATTGAAGAGAGGCAACAGTGCAAATTCCCCTTGATAGATGGAGGGCCCTCAACTGCCAGGACATTTTTCTTTGCCTCATAGCAACTGCTCTTCCCTTTTTTATCAGTATTCTGGTTAAAATAGCAAAAGGAAAATAAAAATGGGCTTTTGACACTTCCAAGAAGTGAATGATCTTGATCAGCATGAGGATGGAAAGAAAAGCCAGCATTTAACATCAGATCTCTTTGCCTTTCCTTCTGAAAACTAGTTGCCATGAATGAGTAAACATTTCCCTTTTAATGGCTAATAATCAATTGCTTGGCTGTGGCCAGGACCGGCTGCGATTCTTTCCTAGTTGTACCGATGATATATACACATGGGACAAGGAACAGCAATTACTTTCAGGCCGGGACTTTAGTACATCTTTAAAATGTACCTCTTTAGATTTTATTGTTTAATGTCAAATGACAAGTTTTGAAAGGTCCCACCTTAAGTTCCTTAAAATATTGACCTTACATGAACTTTGGGTGGGCGTTCTTGATCTCTAGGAGAAAAGTTTTTCTCTCCTAATAGGCTTATCTGGTTGTTTGGGTATATACATGAAAAAATAGGGGGTAAAATGGTTCAATGAATTGAGAAGGAAGTGTATTTAATTAAATAGCTATAGTCTCTACTTCCTAAAGAACCAGAAAATAACTTTTTAATTTTTAAATTAGTTTATTAGTTTATTTAAATATCATCTTTCCCTTCTGTATAATGGTATAATAAGGGCAGCTGCAGTAGCGTGGAACCTAAGCTTTCAGAATAAACACAGCAACCCACTCTGGGGAGGGTGCCAAACCTTATTTCTCCAGAGTTGAATTTCTCATATCTGTCTAATTTTTTATTTTAAGGTACCAATTTATATTCCTTTGATTAACTGATAGAAATATAATTTACATAACACAGAATCCTTATTGATGTTTACACAGTAAAGGTTCAGGCCCTAAGTCACATTTAATGTCACATACAGACACTGACAGAGTAGACTGGTCCCAGGGACACATTTGATGATATCTGCCCTAAGACCTCACATGGGCGTGCCTACAATACGTACCTAAAGGCAGCAGCACTTCAATTCAAACCAATGATTTTATTTTAATTACCCAAAATGAAGCACCGTTTTTATACCTTTACTTTGTTTGACATTAACTTTGGACTTTTAAAAAGGTTGCATTATTAAAATGAGATATTATATATGTCCCATTTGACAGCAATTTAAACACCAAATGAATTATTATTCTGGAGAAGCATCTGTTCATATTTGGTGAAGACAAGGACCACAGCATCTCAGAGGGCTCAAGAATCTAGCGCTCCCTTTTCTTAT